CAATTAAAAGCTCGAAGGGGGCGCACGCGACTTTCCCGCGCGAAGTGAGAGGGGGCAGCCGCGCCACAAGCGTGAGGGCTGGAGGGGGGATGGGGGGTTGGGGGTGGGGGGATTGGGGGGGGGAGTGATGGGCGTTTGTATTCGGGGGGGCTTTTATAAAAGTAAAAAAGTTTATAAGCGGCAGCCGTGCCGCGGGACAAAAGAATTTAAGAAAGAACACATAACTTTTTTTCAGGAGAAGTCCCCGATTACCTGCCCCGCCACCGTCCCACTCGCCCATGATAATGATTATAATACGACGACTACTGCTGTTACTATTCGATGTTTAATATTCGTTCTTACAAAAACAAGTCGTTGATTTTTGTGTGTAGTATTAGTACCTGCCCCAGCTCCGTCCCTCTCGCCCACGCTCCACTTACACGCCACCGGAGGCCTGCCGTGGAGTGAGGATGGGGGGGGGGAGGGGGAGTGGTGGTGGTGGTGGTGGAGGGGGGGGGGTTCATGGGGGGAGGGGGTTCAGTGATCCTCTTAAGGATGCGTATGTGTGTGTGTGTGTGTGTTCGTGTGTGTGTGTATGAGTGTGTGAGTGTGAGAGTGAAAGTGAGCCAGCCAATCCCGGCCGGCCCGCTTTATTCGAAGAAGATACTAGAAAGAGCAAGAGCAAGGGATGTGGGGGGGGGGTGTGCTTGTGTGCGTGTGGGTGTGTGTGGGCAGAGGGTGTGCTTGTGTGCGTATGGGTGTGTGTGGGCAGACAGGGAGGTTAAACAGGCCAGGGATCTGATATTAAGGGCGGCCAAAGCACACCTGTGAAACATGAACAAGGTCAAGAACAGGGACAGAGACAGGGGGCAATATTCAGTGCCTACAAAGAAGAAGAAAGAAAAAAAAACCTGCCACCCGCCTGCCTCTGTCGTTCGGCCGGGAGCGCTCTGACGTTTTGGAAAGAGGTGCCGCCACCTGCCGCAAGGCGGATGCGAACGGCGGACGCGCGGCCAGCTGATCGCATACCGACATTGTCCACTATTGGAGAGGAGGAGGGAGGGAAGGGGGTGAGTGGGTGAGGGGGGGGGGGCTCACATTGTCCACTGTTGGGTAAGGGTTGGCGCTAGGGTTTGGATCACGGCTAGTTATGTTAGAGTAGGGTTGAGGTTGGGGTTCGGGTATATATGTTAGAAAGTATAGATATGTTAGAGAGTAAGGGTTGGGGTCGGAGCAAGGGTAAGGGTCAGGAGGGCTAGGGCTAGGGCTAGGGCTAGGGTTAGTATAACGGTAGGGCTCGGGCTAGGATTAGGGTTAGGGTTAGTGTAGGGGTAGGGTTGGTGTAGGGGCAGGGCTAGGGCTAGGGCTAGTGTAACGGTAGGGCTCATGCTCACCTGTCAGCTGCACGCTGAGAACTGTGCCGCCGTTTTTCATAGTGCCGCCGTTTTTCAAAGCCTGTCCGGCTTGTACGTGCAGCAACTGCGGGCGAAGGTAGGAACCACTTACCCGACTAGAATAGGCCAACACCTAGGAGGAGGGTGGGGGGGGGGGTGTGGAGGGCGGAGGCTAAGATAATTGGGGCTCAGGACACAAGAGATGGTTATGATGGTTATGATTTTATGACTTCATGACTTTTGTGAATAACTCATCCCATACGAACGAAGGAACCACTTACCCGGATAGAATAGGCCAAAAACTTACTATTCGAATTAGAAGGATTGTGAGCATTCAGGGGGGGGGTTCGTATTTTTTTATTGTAGCCCCCCCCTCCCCCCAAACACACACATACACACACATACGTACACTCACCCCGTGCAGTTGTCGAGAGATGATTGGGACACGCGAGAGTGGCGGCCAGAAGCCATCGCGCGCAGAGCCGAGCTCAACGGTCATTGCGGGCACGCCGAGCACGCCTGAGGTGATTTGGGGGGGGGGGTATTATTGTTACAAGTGTGCGCACTCGGCCATGTGACTGAAAAAGGTCCCTTGATCCGAGTGTTTCTCGACGCTTGGGTCCAGTGGAGACCTGTCAGAGGATGGATGTAATTCAGATATTTACAATCACCCTGCGTCCAGTTGTCTGGGAGCCCGTTCATGTGTGTGGTGTAAAAAGAAAGGAAAAGAAAAAAGAAGAAGAAAGAAGAACAAGAAGAAGAACAAGAAGAAGAAAAATGTGAGAATATGAGTATTCTAGTGTTGTTATCGATACTATTCTTCGTTTGTATGTATGGCGATAGTGTACTGATTGGTGTGCGTCATGCCCGTACGCCTTCGGGCTGCAAGTCGGGGGACGTTAAAAGAACTACTATGAAAAAAGCACACCCTGCGTCCAGTCGTCCGGCAGCCCGTTCGCCTCGTAGCCGACCGTCTCCCACGCCCGCCCGTAGACGAACCCGTTATGCGCGCACATGTCGTGCCCCCACCTGTAACAGATTAGGAACAGAAATAGATTAGCGGCTCAGCAGTGTTCAAGAGGAGGTGTTCATCCACAGGCGTGATCGACGCCAGGCATCAGTCCTGGCAGTAGGGATGGTAGAGGTGAAATTGGTGACGAATCTATTATGCGCACACATGTCGTGCCCAGCTGCTATTGTGCCATATTTCGTTCTCCCTATGAATAGGGATATTGTTTTCACCGATATTATAATGAATGGTAGAAAAAAATTCGAGGGGTCTTTCCACAACATCGAATGTACCTGCGATATAAAAAGTGAAACCTATATAAAACAAATTCGAGGGGTCTTTCCACAACATCGAATGTACCTGCGATATAAAAAGTGAAACCTATATAAAACTCCGTACCTGCGGAAGAGCAGCAGCTGCTCGCGCGAGAGAGGTGTCTTCTTCCGGATCGTGTCGAGTGCGGAGTAGCTGAAGGGGTGCGTGATGGAGTTGCCCCAGCCGTGCAGATTCAGGACGAAGCCCACCTGTGGCGCATCCAGAGAGAATACCAAGACAATGTTCAGGACATCCATTGAGAATACCAGCGTTGCGAGGGGAACATTGGGATTCACATCAATGTCATACCTATGTGATTCTTGAGCTCCAAGAAGGATATCACACCGAAAAAAAATGGCGTGGAATAAATCCGGTATTCTATTTAGTTGCGCCGCACCTGTTGCTCACGCATCAGCTTGGCAAGCGCGGCCGCCTCCGGCTCGGAGAAGGCGGCACTGAAGGAGGCAGATGGCAGAAGGCAGCGGGTGACCGTCAGGGGCGGCAGTGGCGGCGGGGCAGCAATAAACAAAAAGAAAAGGAGCAGGAAAACCAAATACCTGCCCCTGTAGTCCTCGGCGCAAGCGCTCGGCGACGAGCCCGCGTCATCCCTGCCAAACCGATAGCCCCAATTGCGGTTGATGTCGACGCCCTGATCGGAGAGCGAGTGGCACGCCCTGTTCGGCCGCCCGTTCTTGCGCTTGGTGCCGCCGCCGGCCGGGCGCATCCGCCGGTTGTGTTCGTAGCCGTCCGGGTTGACCACCATTGCGAACCAGAGCCGCCGCGAGCCGAGCAGCGCCGCCACGGCCGCATCACCTGCCGCGTGGTCCGCGAGAAGCTGCTCGACATAGTCCAGCAGCCCGACCAGCGTCACCGGCTCGCGCGGGTGCGTCAGCGCGGTGAATAGCGTCGCGGGCAGCGGCCCAACCCCCTGCGCACCAGTGCGGCCCCATGCGCCGCCACCACTCGCCGGTGGCGCACAGTCCGCGGCCGCATCGGCCGTGAGGCATAGCGCGTGCAATGGCCGGCGCTCGACTGAGGCGCCAAACGTCACGATACGCACGACGCGCGGGTGCTCGCGCTGCAACCGCTCGAGCGTCGCCTCGGCCTCGGCCAGCGTAGGGTAGCCGCCCATGCTCCCGCGCGAGCCCTCGTCGAGGTGGCCACCGCCCACGCCACGGAACCGCCTAACACTCGCGAGCCGGCGCGCGTAAAAGGTCGAGGCGTCGAGTGCGCGCACGCGTGCGCCGAGCCCGAGCGCGCGGAGCGTGTCGAGTTCCGACAGCGCGGCCGTGAACTCGCGCTCGCCGAGCCCAACGGCGGCCGCGGCAGCGCGCGCGCCGGCGAACGCAAGCGTGCGCGCCGAGGGCAGTGGCCCGTCCAGCTCGATGACCACGAGTGTGTCGTTCATGACTAGCGCGGCCGACACGCGGCGCCCCCGACAGCACCCGGGTGTTGCCGCCCAAGTCTCGTTTTAAATGTGAGCTCAGCGCTGCCGCAGCCACCGCTTGGCCAGTGGCGAGGTGGCACGAGCTGCTTGGCCTAAAGCGTGACCTGGCGCGCGCGAACTGGGCTGCACGTGATCACGGGCGGAACGCGAGCCTAGTGCGCTCTCGGCACGGCACGAAGTAAGACGTTTTTAATTACGTGATCACTTCACCGTCGTGTCTTCGTTCCACGAGCACTAAATGCCGGCCTCGAGACCGGTCGCTTAAAGCAGAATGACCACTAGACCTCACACTGGCCATGGCGAGTTTTTTTGTCAGAAATTGTGTAGATTTTATCTTATATATATGTCACTTTCGCTTCTGTCGATCATCATAGGGAGATGTAGCTCAGTGGTAGAGCGGTCGACTGCAGATCGACAGGTCGCGAGTTCAATTCTCGCCGTCTCCTTTTCTTTTCCTTTTTGGTGCAGCGCGAATCTTTCACTTTTCATTTTGCCTTTTCCTTTTTGATGCAGCGTGAATCTTTTACTTTCTTCCACACCGACCTTCTTTTGCCTTTTCAAAGCCAAATCTTTCTCTTCTGCAATGCCGCTTCAATATCCTCTAGCATTGCCACTCAGTATTCCCAGAGCGATCCATTCTCAGAAAGCGCCGATCGCTACTCAAGGGGCTGAGCGCCACCTCCCACTTGAGCGGATACCATTCCGAGGCTATCCTCTCACGCCTATGGCGCCGGAGTGTGTATATGAGAGGACATCAAATCAAATCTACCGTGGAGCTACGCATATTACAGCGTAATGTTCCCGGACACATAAAGAAACATCAAATCTACCGTGAAACTACGCATTTTACAGTGTAATGTTCCCGAACACATAAAGACTCGCTTAGTCGCTACTATGTTCCAACGTACGCCTAATGTTTAGTGCAGAGCAAAAGACGGTACCCTCTCCCTTAAAAGGTTAAAGGGCTTAGTGCAAAGCAAAAGACGGTGCCCTTTCCCTTAAAGGGTAAATATGTTCCAACGTACGCCTAATGTTTAATGCAGAGCAAAAGACGGTGCCCTCTCCCTTAAAAGGTTAAAGGGCTTAGTGCAGAGCAAAAGACGGTGCCCTCTCCCTTAAAGGGTAAATAAAAGGAGACGGTGAGAATTGAACTCACGACCTGTCGATCTGCAGTCGACCGCTCTACCACTGAGCTACATCTCCAAGGCATTCGTTTAAGTCAGCGCTGACCACAATTTGAAGTACATGTAGTATTTAACATCTTTCGTTCGGTGCTGCTCTGGGTCCACACCGTCGCGGGATTCGCACGCTTGTCAGCAGGATAGCAGTGCGATGAAGTTGGGGAGGGAAAGGGAGAAAAGCGCGAGACTCGTGTATTTTTTCAATCACCGACGCCGACGCCTGAGACGCAAAAGATGGAGCCAATCACGTGCCGCGCGGCCGTCGCTTGGGGGCCCAAGCTACCGCTGTCGATCGAGGATGTCATCGTCGACCCACCTAAGGCTGGGGAGGTCCGAGTCCGTGTCATCGCCAACGCGCTGTGTCACACAGGTGAGGCGCAAATCGCTGCGGTAATCGCAGAGGCGCACGGCGCAGACAGGGGGTGTGGTTGAAATGGCGGGTTGCACTGACTGGCTGCTGCATTGGCTGACGCGTGGCGTTGTTCCCCCCCTGCGCAGACATTTACACGCTCGACGGCCACGACCCGGAGGGTCTCTTCCCGTGGTGA